TCCTCAAGTTGTACTTCAGTCTCATTTTCGTGGAAAATCTTCCTGACCAAAATATCTAATTTCAAAACAGCAACTTATTTTAAGTGAGGGCCAAAATGAATACGGATGCTCACATAGTAGTCACAAGTTATCGTCCTTAAAAGTCTTAGGACTAGAAGGCTGAAGAACCATTACTTAGAAGTAGTAAATGCAAGTAGTTTGCAAGGATCATCAGTCAAAGGAGCCTTCTATATTCAATTGTCAGATAAAGTGCTGGTCACGATTTTTAAATAAAAAAAAAACATATCACTGCAGTGAATTCGAATGGTTTCTTATTTTTATTTTCTTAATTAATATATTAATTTTTTTTTCACTCTTTTATAACCTATTCATAGCTTTGACGATATTGAAGAACATATATAAAATAGAGAGAATTCTTGGAATTGGAGACAACTGATGAGCTATAGGAATTCGCTCCTATAAACTGCCTTAAAATAGGTCTAACACGTCTCATGTGTCGCGAAAATGATTGGATGGAGGGTTGTTACAGACAAAGCTTATACCCAAAACGTCGAAAAAGTGGTAGCGTTAGCAAGTGTTTCTAAAATCGGCCACGAATGATACATGTGTTCATCCTGAACTCCGAATGAGAAAGCAAGAAAACTTCCAAATAAACTTTTAAGATCTACTCACCTGCATGTTCACTACGGATGTCAATCTTAGGTACGGTTTGATTAAGGTGACTTTGAGCATAATTCCCAATGAACTCCTCCAAATCAGTGACAGTGAGGAAAGTGCGTTCCATCTTTTCTTGATTTATGTTATTGTCAGAAGAGCCGATCACTTCTTTTAGGATAGTGTCAACAAGTTTCTTGTTTGAAAACTGATAAGGCGAAAAAAAGTCCTAATAAGGTATCAGTAGTTGGTTTAAACATAACCTTCAGTAGCCTAACTCTTAAAGGAATTGATAAATTCATGGGTTACACAGTCTGAGGAAAAGCTTTCTTTAATAAAGGCACCAGCAATAAACTTGAGAGGAGTTTAATTTCTTGACGTCGAAGGCTTCTATCTACACGTCATTGCAAGTGGTTTCTAAGGAAAGTATTACGAACACAATACATTAAGAATGGAACAACTGATTACAAGACTGGAAATTACGTAGGAAATACGAATAAAATAGGAAATATCAATCACATAAGAAATAACTTACTCGCCATAACATTCCAACCCGAACTCGCATCTCTCATTTGTATGATCCGCGCGAACGTGGAATTTCTATCGATAGTCGCGCGAACTGGGGCTAGGAGAGGGATTTGTTTCTACACTCTATGGGGTGAAATGAAAGGATCAATGGAAATAGGCACCAAAAATGTTACAAGAAAATAAAATACACGTACTTCGCTTGATGGTGTTAGCTTAATGGCAGGAAATTTCGGTTTCCTCGCCCAGCACTGTTTCACTTTTATTCTGCCCAAATACGACGAGTCTGTTTTATTTGTCAATATAATAGAAAACTGTTCGCGAGGTTTTTCATTTTTCCTGCACCTCCACATTCTAACACAGTCTTCTTTCCA